CGCACTCTCTGTAGAGTCCTTTTAGTCTAGCCCAGATTAGGACTCACTCTTTGAAGGGTGTTGAAATGACAGTGAGCAAGATGGATTAGTTATGTTTAAAGAACAATTCCAGCTGGAGAAGACTTCCCTTGTTAATCATGCTCTCTCTTCGTCTCTTCCCTTCTAATTACTGAGTTCTTCATGAAGGCCCTTGCTCTTCAAGCTGAATGCGGTGTTTCATTGACTGTGTTTAAGAGCAGTGGTGGCTCTGAAGGGAGACCAGCAGGAGCATGAGGTCTCTTAATGATACTGCCTTTGGACAACGCTGCTCAGTTTAGGTCCTAGGAAGCTTTGTAAAGGGGACTTTGCTTAGAAACTGATGGTACAAGGCAACTGTTGCAATAATATTTTAAGTTATTAAAAGCTACATGTATAGTATTTTATACTGTAGTATCCAAAACTGTTTTTGCAGAAGTGTGTGTATGGATGACAGCTTATCAAAAAAAGCAAGAAGAATTATCTTTTACCAGAAAGTTTCCTGAAAGTTAAACATATTCACAGTCTGTGTGGGATATCTGGGCTTTATTAAACTAACGTGAACAAAAAGAGCAAAATTTTCCAAGAACTTCCTTCCTGCATTGGTGTTTATATACTGGAACAGGACTGGCTTTTTCCGTTAGCTTTCGCTGTTAGGAAAGATGCTTAAGCCCTTTTGGTACAGAAGGAGGAGTATCTGCTTGGTGGCTACCAAGAGATAAGGGACTTTATTTAAAACAAATCAAATCCTTAGTTTTGTTCTTATAAAACAAAGCACCTCAAAATTGGTTGCTAAACCTGTGTTAGAATCAGTCCCCCTTCCCAGTAGTGCCATCAACAGTGGATGATTGTAAAAGGAAAGTTTTATCGCTGGAGGCTTTTATGTACAACAAAAGCTTGACAAATACATTGACAGGTTTCTTCCCTCCGCAGAAAATGACAAATAATTGTGCAGAATTGTAAATCAGTTGTTAGTCTGCAGGAGCTGAAGTTATGTCGCCCTTTGGGCTTCTCTAAACAAAGGAGAATATCTGTCCTGAATTATTTGTTAATGTCTCTATTGTGCCAGATTTCTCTCTCCCATAAGACTTTTTAAAAAAAAAAAACAACTTTAACTTTTTGTGAGTATACTTTTTTTTAGGCTTTTGTAGAGATACAACCCATGCTCTTGCATGACACACAGAAAAAATCCTACAGAAATAAAGAATGTGTTAGTTCTATAAATAATAATTGTAGTCTTCCCACAAACAGGGCTCCAGTGGTCCTCATCTATTAATTACAGAAGGCACTAGATGAAATGTGGAGTAGCTTTTATTGCTGAAAGGCAGAGTAATGATAATGTTTTTGAGAAATTTAATTAGGCAATATGCCAGTTGAATGGCTAGGGTATATTTTTAGATAATTTCATGACAAAGGAATTGTCACTATTTCATTCAAGATTTTCTAGGTGACAGAATTGATTAAAGAGCAGTTTATAGCCCAGCAGAAGGGGAAATGGTCTTTTTCAATGTGCTTTGCAGCTTTTGCTGTCAATAATTCAGGTTTTTTGTGTGTGGATTTTTTGGGGGTTTTTTGTTGTTTTTTTTTTTTTTTTTAAACAGATGGAGATTAGTAGAAATTAACTTTTCATATTTTTTTTTAAAGGTATCTGCTATGGCAAAGATATTAATTAAATTTTTAAAAATAACGGTTTATGTATTTTAACCTTTTGTTTTTCAAGATCCAAGAAAACACTCTTGGCCAAAATCTAGGGGAAGCTACTGCCACTTTGTACTATACAAGGAGAACAAGGATACTATGGACGCCATTAATGTCCTGTCCAAATTTTTAAGGTAAGGCTGCTGTTTCTGCCAGCCTGGCTAGCATGTGGTGCTCCTCCTCTATGTTTCATGTTACTGTAAATGCTATGCTTCAGAGTTATGTAAGAGAACAGAAATTATTACTGTTGCCTAATTTATAGATAGTGTTTTTTTAAAAAAAAAAAACTTAAAAAAATACAGAATATGAAATTTTGTAAGTTTTGGAAAGAGGTGAGAATGGAACAAAAATGATCCCAAGAAATTTATAAGACTGTACTCTACTACCTCAGTGGAAAAAGGTCGACAATTGAAGTTGGCTAATCTGAGAAAGGCTTGGCAGCTCAAAGCCTGTGTGCGTAACATGAATTAAAAGCCACTTTTTTCCCAGTGCGTGAATATATGCAAGTATGTTATGAACCTGTCAGATATTGTTGTGATAATATGCTGATCAGTTCCTAAGCAGTTACAGTTGATAAACTGTTGTTCCATGTATTACTTTCTCCATGGCAACACAGTCTTAGTTCCTTTCACCCCATCAAGTGCTGCAACAAAAAGATTTGCCAAAGGCGTGATGTGAATACAGTGAATTGCAGAGGAAGGATTCTTTTAAAATTGGGTCAGTTCAGTGATCTACTTGTAAGGAAACCTCCCCACTTCTCTCTTCCTTTTCTCTCTGCTCTTTTGTCCAAAAATAAATGTTTGTAATCTAGACTCTAACCCGTATACTACTAGTATTTGTATTTGAGAACAGAAGTAGCATAGTTTGGTGGAAAAATGAATGCAATGGCAATCCTGCTACCCCCTGGTGCCCATAGCTGGAACGGCTGGAAATATGCCCTGTGTAACAGTTTGAAAAGTACAAATCAGAAAGGAAATTTCCCTCTCAAGGGAATCAGTGGATCAAACTTTAAATTAACTTCTCATATTCTCACATAATGTGCATGGATCATATTCAAGCAGACATGTTATTTGAAGTTTAAGAAAAAAATAAACATTAATTTTGTTTAGTGAAATTAGAGGTGGCTGCACATTTTGTGCCTTGAGTGGATGTATATAAAGTACTTCAAAGCTCATATTCTGAAAGTGCAATTGTGGTAAAAGTAAATATGTCTACATATCATTAAAACAGAAGTGTCCCTGTGTTCTATGTTCTTACGGATGAGATTAGAAAATGCCACACATACATCAAATTGTAGCTTAGTTCTGGGGAGTATAAATATATATTAATATAGAAGATTAATAATTCTAGGTAATTATGCTGAAAATTATGTTTGATCTGTGTCTATTTTAATATATATAATAGCTGTTTCTGTTGCTTTTAAGAGTGAAGCCAAACATATTTTCCTATATGGGAACAAAAGATAAAAGGGCTATAACAGTTCAAGAGATCGCTGTTCTGAGGTGAGTGAGGTTATACTGCAGTATTTGCACTCCTACTGCCATAGCCTGAATATCTCGCTAAATACCCTCAGCGTGCATCTGACACTAATGGCACAGTCAGGTCCTGATCTTGTAAAGCATGTGTATTAATGAAGATGCTGTACAACTTTTTTTATTCCATGGTGGTTGGTAGTATTTTCAGTCGGCGATGCTCTGAGCCATAGGCTGGATACATGTATTTGGCTGAAGCAGCGGACCAAGTTGCCTGCATGCTCTTACGTTGCATAGCTCCTATGCAACAGCAGAAAAACAGAATGACGTGGTGAAAACTATGTTCCATTTCCTTCCTGACTTTTGTTTCCCCCTTCCTCCAGCTGGAATCCTGTTTTCATTCTTGCTGGTCTCTCTGAATAGCTCCAGAGAAGGCTAACCACTGCCTTTGCTCATCTGTGAGTAGCCAGAAGGGGCAAAAAATGATGAGGAATTTTTCCTGCCTTAATCTACTCCCATAAGTTGCCTATTATGAGAAAATAAAATTTATTTTATCATATCCAAGATAATTATATGGTTTCTGGGCACTTCAAATTAGTGTTACATCCATAACTGAGAATGTTGGATGCCTCGCAGTCATGTGTTACAATATCCGTTTCACTAGCTGAAATACTCTGCCTGGACTACTATTTACAACTCTTTGTAAACCACACTCCTCAAGTGAGGCATTCCAAAGTCTGAGAGCCAGAAATTTGATCAAATCTTTGTTAAAAGGAGGACGTTCACTACTTAATTGTTCATATTTTTCCTCTCAGTGGTTTGCATATGCATATGTTTGCACAAATAAAAGGAATTACTAATTTGTGAATTGTGAAAAGCCCCAGATTCCTGTTGCTGCAAGGCAAGTACTAAGTGATGACAATTAACCAAATGTGGTGTAGCCATCTCAGGTGCTGTTCCATTTACTTTTAACATGATCACGTTTAATGTTGTGTCCAAGAGCTTCAGTGTGTTGTAAGCACTGGGGGGGGAGGGAGCGTAGTGATTTATGGTGTCTGTGCAGTGGTGCCACAGTGTCCGACTGTCCTGCACAGGCTTGGAGAAGGATGGTGCAGGAGAGGAGACATTAGAATTTATCAGCCTGTTCTGACATGAGTACGCTGGCCATGCTAATTGATAAACTTGTCTATCCTGGTATAAATTTTAGCAGAAGTGTCAAAGAGCAGCTTGGTGATGCAAAGAACGGGGTATGCTGCCAGAAGTACTTGCAACAAAAATGACAGATATCAGTGACAGATTGGATTTCCTACTCCTTCAGCTGCACTAAGCTTGCACACTGGCTAATTGCTTAAGTCCGTGTTTATGACTGTGCCAACAGGAATGTATTCATGGTGTAGTTACTCAAATAAATCAGAGTTCAGCTTGTGGGGTGCAGTATTGCAACTTTTTCTTTTTTTGAGTGCGTACTGTAACATAGATGTGAAAAGACAGTACTAAGTCTTTGTCACAGTACATGTTTTCTCTTCAAGTAGCCTTAAGAATTATCTGTTCTTTTCTTTTAGATATTTCATTAAAATACTTTGAAAAGGCAACAATAGAAGATTGGGGAAACATGACTCACTGTTTTTTATTTCAGAATGGTTTCATTTCTGTCTTTAATTATCTGCTTTTCTAAGCATAGGTTGGTCACTGTTGTCTGTTTCTTTTTAGAATCACTGCACAAAGACTTGCTCATTTGAATAAATGTTTGATGAACTTCAAATTAGGAAATTTCAGTTACAAAAACCATCCACTGAAATTAGGAGAACTGCAAGGGAACCATTTCACTGTTGTTCTCAGGTAATATGTTAATATGTACTTAGACAGTTCTGTTAGAATTTTTTTTTCTTTAAATACATAAGGGATATTAGTGCATCTTGTGTTACAAAAAAGAAGAAAAGTCCTTCTACTGGCAGGAATCTGGGGATCACAAACCAGTGTAAGCCCTTAATAATCTATCTATAACTTTTTTTAATGCTAGAAACATAACAGGAACTGATGACCAGATAGAGCAAGCAATGCACTCTCTCAGGGAAATTGGATTCATTAATTATTATGGAATGCAAAGATTTGGAACCACAGCTGTTCCTACATATCAAATTGGCAGGTATGTGTTGTTTCCATCCCTTTAAAAAAAAATCTTTATATAACTGTTAATGTATTCTTGGAAGCATTTTTTCTAGTATATTGCATGTGCAAGTTTTAATTTTAAATTCAAGAGAACTTGTTTCTGAAGTTGCTTCAGCAGGTATCTTGCATAATACTACTACTTTTAATATTGCATAAATCTAAACACTACTACTTCTTTTTTTATAAGTTGGCTAAATCTCCTTAAAATATATTTAGTCAGTTCTTAATAACCTTTACTCTTTGAATCTTAGAGCTATTCTACAGAACAATTGGAATGAAGTAATGGATTTGATACTAAAACCACGACCAGGAGGTAAGGACTAAAAAATGATACATCCAGTGTTTCTGCCTCTCCTCCTCCAAGAATTGTATGTTCAGGAAGAACACTTAGATTTTGATTCTTTTAATTTGAAAGGACATTTGTGAGGACAGCTTTGCACATGTTAAACTTCAGCCAGTTTAGCAGTGGAGGAATGATCTTCAGGCTCTCTGCCTCTCTGCTTCTCTTTCCTTGCTGTGCAGTTTCTTGCACTGGGGGTGAAAAGGGACCTGAATACTTGTACACAGAATCTGCTCAGACTCCACATGGAGCCTTCCAACCTCAACTATTCTGTGATTCTGTTAATCTGTGTAACTACTGTGACTGAAGCTTTAATTTTTCAGCTGTTTTAACCAAAGGCAAGATGCATGCTTTCTTGGTGTGTAGTTAAAATATTTTTATTTTACATCCTCATTCTAGCTGAAAAGGGATACTTAGTAAAATGCAGAGAAGAATGGGCAAAGACTAAAGATCCAGCAGCAGCCCTCAAGAAACTGCCTGTAAAAAGGTGCGTGGAAGGACAGCTTCTACGCGGACTCTTAAAGTATGGAATGAAGAACATAATCTCTGCATTTGGCATAGTGAGTGGGGTATTTACTTAAATAAATGCTCTTTTGATGGTATCATGATGAATTTGAAATAGACTTACAGATGCCTGATGAGTAGAACGTTAAGTGTAAAATCTTTACATTTTTCCTGCCTTTTTGCTTGAAGTACTGCCACGTGGTAACTGACAACATCTGTAATTAGTGTATGCATAATGAGCTTTCCAATTTATACAACAGTCTCTGGTACATTGGAAGCAATACAGTTATGCTGAGTAACCATGTATAATACAGATCTGATAACTCTCCAAAAGTTCAGTATCAAGAGTTTTTCTGTTGCTTAAAAAGTATAAATCAAACTGATAGTGTGCTAATGAATCAGCTTGGCATAGAGGTGGTGGATTCACTGTCATTTTCAAGTACTGTAATCAAGATCAAGTCTTTGGAAAAAATAGTTCATCACGAGCAAACTACTGGGCCAATTGTAGGAGACAAGGAATAATTTATTGTTTATGAAGAAGATAATTAGACTAACAATGTGCTTTCACATCTGCAAAATTTACTTAAAATTTCAAGAGGTTGAGATTAATTCAGTGTTTTATAATAGCCCTATGTGTTTGATGAGCTGTTGAATAAAAAAAAATAAATTACAGAAGCTCTTTTTTTAATTTAAGCACAGGGTTGGTTTTTTTGTGTTGATTTTCAATGTATAATAGCATTATTTCTTCACGTACCCTTTTCCCAAATGTGTATACCAAGAAATTGTGTTAGTCTTATTGCTGGAGAAGATAATGTTTCACATATGTACCTTTTTGGTTATGATTGAGAGAAAAAACTAAAAATGCATCTTTCTAATGTTTCACTTTTTTTTTTCTTTACCTCTAGATACCAAGAAATAATCGTTTAATGTATATTCATAGCTACCAGAGTTATGTGTGGAATAATATGGTGAGCAAAAGAATAGAAGAATACGGGCTTAGAGCTGTACCAGGAGATCTCACACTTAAAGGAGGTAAAAACAGACAAATGAAAAGCCAGTGATGCTGTGTAGTTCAAATTCCTAGGAAAACAAGGCATGTATCTGTTTATGTGATACTGTATACATGGGGTTTTTTTTTCCTTCACCCATTTTGGTCCAGTGATTTCTGAATCCATTGGCCATTTTTAGTCAAATTTTGCAAGGAATCAGAAGTTAGGTGTTACACTTGTGTGAGCTGTTGGTTTGCTTGTTTTTCCAAATAGCTGGATAGGGAAGAGAGACTATGAAGGACTGATTGTTCTCATGAATTAAGTCAAATGTGGTTGAGCTATGGAGAACTGCAGAAGGATGTAATAATGGTTTAACCACAGAAGTTTTTGTTTGCATTAATATCTTGTAAAGTGGAGACTCCATTTGGTTAAAGCTTTCTTCACTTGGATTTGCTCTGTCATTTCCCTGGGGTGAGAATATCCATAATATTTCTCCTTTAGGTATGTCTGATGCCTGGTTAGAGGACTGTTCATCTTGCAGTCCTTACTTCATTCAGCTTTAAAAGTCAATGGAAACCAGGCTGTGATTCTGCTAGTAACTGTGACAGCCTTGAAGACTGTTACTTCTTTTCTTGGAGATGTTGTCTGTTAAGTGGAGATAAAACACAGTAGTTACTCCTCTCAAAGTAGGCTTGTTTCAATCAAGTGGTTCATTTTAACCTGTTAACTGTCACAGGCATCCATACTGATAACTCATCATTATTCTGTCCTAATTGTAGCCACAGCTGTTCATATCGAAGAAGGAGATGTTGATAACTACACTATCCATGATGTAGTGATGCCATTGCCTGGATTTGATGTTATTTATCCAAAGCATAAAAGTAAGTCTGACTATTAACTCACGTACGTACTCTGAAAATGTAAGTCTGCTTTAAGATTGTTCTTAAAAGAAAGTTTAGATCTATGCAACCTTGGTGACCATTAAAAAATACACTATTTCAAAGCTCTGATACATTACTGTCAGCCTCTCCCATTGTGATAGTAATAGTCTGCATTGTTTCATTTAGTATAAATCTGTTTCTTATTTCTTTTTAGCTAGTAGTTTTTCTAAAGAACTATTTTTTTTTTACTGAGGCGAAATTATTTATCTCAGCACAAGGGGAAAAAATGTTGAAATATTAATTGAAAAGTGTATTTGATTTTTAAATTAGAAAACGAACCAAACTTCTAGAATTTGTAACCCAAGCAAATGCTTAAAGTTATGAAAAAGAACCAGATCTATTTAATTAAATATTAACCAATATGTATGTTTAAAAAAAACCCAAAACCAAACAAAAAACCCCTAAAAAGCTTATCTTTCATATTTCATCAAATACAGTGTATTTGATCTAAATTGTTTTTAATGGAATAGGTTCAGTGATCTATAATTTATCTGCATGGAACTCAGTGTTACTATTAAGGGATAGAGTTGCAGAATCATTTCAGTTGGAAAGGACCTCAGGAGGCCATCTGGTCCAACCTTTTGGTCAAAGCAAGGTCAGTGCCATATTGAGGCCAGCTTGCTCAGGGCCTTCTCCTGTCAGATCTGAAACTTTCAAGAACAAATTGTCTCTCTCTAAGCTAAAAAAGCCCAGTTCTCTCAGACTCTCCTCACAGGGCATGGGCTACAACCCCTGGCCATTGGGGCGGTCCTCCATTGAATTCATTCTAGTTTATCAGCATCTACTTTGTACTGGACACATTATTCTAAGTGCAATCTCATGAGTGCCCAGTAAAGGGTCACTATTTATTTATCTTTTTTTTTTTTTTTTTTTTTTTTGTGTGTAGCTACCAGCTCAGCACCTGTTGCCATGAGCTTTTGTCACTGCCAAGGTGCTCTGTTAAGTCTCCTTTCCACTGGCAGTCCCAGGTGACTGTCAGCAGAGTTGCTCCCTAGCCTGTACCATTGCAAGGAGTTAATCACTCTCAGGTACAGGACGTTGTCCTTGCTGAAATTGGTGATGTTCCTCTTGGCCCATTACTCTAGGCTGTCTAGGTCCCTCTGAATGGCAGTCCTGCCCTTGGGTGTATCGACTGCCACCCCAGCTTGATTTTGTCCACAGACTTGTTGGGGTGAATTCCAGCTCCTCCTCCACATATGCTGATAAAGGTATTTAACCAGACACATCCCAGTTCCTTGAGGAACTCTGCCTGTAACAAGTTTCTAGGTAGAGCTCAAACCAGTAGTGAGTATCCTTTGACACGATGAGCCAGATGGTTCTTTACCCATCTAGCAGTCCATCCTCTGCAATATTCTAACCTTGGATACAAGGATGCTGTGGGAACATGTGATTCTGTGAACATGTCAACAGCCTTGCTAAAGCGAGGTAGGCAACAGTCACTGCTCTCCCCTCATCCACAGAGGTAATAATTTAATCATAGAAAGCAGTACAGTTAGTGGAGTTTTTTTAGTTTTTCTTTTTCCTCTTTTAGTAAAACTGTGCTCACTATTATTCTTATCGTGTGCCCAGAAGCATGTTCCAAGAAGATGATCTCCACTATTTTTTCCAGGGACCAAAGTGAGTCTGACTGGTCTGTAATTCCCTAGATCATCCTTCTTGCCCTTTCTAAAGATGGGTGCAACACTAGGTTTTCCCCAGTCACCTGAGAGCTCCCCATGATCTTTCAGAGATGGTAGAAGAAACCTTTTGCATGACATGAGCCAGCTCTCTTAGCCTGTATCTTCTTCCACTACAGGTAGTCCCTCTCTTTCCTGAACCTTGCCTCTAGGAACAGAGGCCTGGGAGACCTTGCTGCTCAAAATTGAGACAAAGGAGGCACAGAGACTGTCAGCCTTATATCTGTCACTAGACCACCTGCCCCATTTAACAGCAGGCCAACATTTTAATTGTTGTATTATTTTATTCCTTTCTTTCAGTTTAACTCTTGATATCTATTGGTGATTTCAACTCTAGCTGAAGTTTGGCTTTCCTACCACCATCCCTATATGCCTGGACAATGTTTGTATATTCCTTCTTTGTAGCTGGCCCTAGCTTTGACCTACAATATGTGTCCTTATGTATCAGCTGAGTCATGAGTTCCCTACTTAGCCAAACCAGTCTCCCGATACGTGTGCCTGTTTTCCTCAATATTGTGTTGAACTGCTCTTGTACTTGGTTGTTCTTAAAAGACCAGTCAAGTCTCTGGAGAATCTCTGCCTGTCAGAGCTAAGTCCCAGAGCTAGGATCCCATTTATTACCCATCTCTGAAACACTTGGAAGGTAAAGATCTGTTTGTGATGAGGTGTGTTAAAACATTGAGTTGAAAGATTGAAAAGAAAAGCTGCAATTTTTTACATTCAATATATTTATACTGGGATTTGCCTGCAGTAAGCCTAACTTATTCCTTTTTAAAATTCCCAACTGCATGAAGTAATGCTGGCAATTCCACTGCAAAGCAAAGGCACCAGGCAGCACTTTAGCTGCAGTATATTCTTCTGTTTCCATTGCCTTCCCTGTCTTCCCCAGGTGTGCATGCACACGCCCTGACTTAAGGATACAAGACTGTAAAAGGATTACTCCCTCTGTTGGCAGTGTACTTACAGGTCACTACTGGCTCATTTCTTCAGAGGTCTCTCTTAACTCATTTCACTCTGCTGCTTTTTCAAAGATAGAGCAATGTAGTCTGACCTTTTTTTGTTGTTTTTTTTTCCCCCTCATATACCTGAGATTAGTCTTGTGAAGTTTAGATAATTGGTGAGCATGCACGAGATGTAAATGATATGTCAATAAAATATTTTGTAAATTTTGTTTTCAGCTGAAATTTTGATTTGCTAAGATTCTTTCTTGGTTACTGTGTCTGCTAATCAGGTTGTAGAAGCAAACATTGTAGGTAATAAGATTTGCAATATGTAATTTTAAACTTGTGTGTAACATTTATTCCATATATGCTGAAAACTACTAAATATAAGAGAAGGCACGATCCATGAAAAAAGGCTGTTTCACTTGGCTGCACTACGCTCTCTGCTATTAAATAGGTTCCTCTCTTGCAGTTGGCGAGGCCTACAAGGAAATGCTGGTGGCTGACAATCTTGACATCAACAACATGAGGCATAAGATCAGAGATTATTCACTTTCTGGAGCATACAGAAAGATTATCATTCGACCTCAGAATGTCAATTGGTAAGTAGGAGGATAAAGGAATTTACACTTGAATTGACAGCACAGGGTGTATGTGGGATGCCTAAGTACCAGAACCATTAGGCTGACCCACGGGACGCACCTGTAGAGTGAAGCACACGTAGGGAGGAATCTCTTTGCATTTCCCTCGTGGGGTTTTTTTTGCAGTTGAAGTTGAACCATAGCATTACTTCTTCCTTGGTCCTCTGGTTCTGTGATGCATGAGTGTCAAGACACCTATCTAGTTGTTACATTCCTTGCAAAGGCTTGCCTGAACACTTCATAGATAATTACTTATGTTGAAACCGTGACAGATAATATTCAAAACAGTTTTTTTTTTTTTCTAGTCTTGCTATGAGAAAGTTGGTGTCCAATTACCTATCTGTCAGTCAGAAAGATTTGTGTCACTTAAACGTACTAAATCATTGTTGGTGGAGATAAAACCTAGTTGTCATGGCAAATTAATAAATACCTTTTAAACAGGTGACTGTGCAAATGTGCAGAAAGTCTTGATCACTGATACACAGAAAAAAATAGAGGGTTTAGGAGGGAGACAAAAAATAAAAATGTTTACACTTTAATAAGTGCTGATGTTTAAAGCTTATCTGCCTAGTTACTTTTTCAGCCTTGTCATTACATAGGGAATGATTTCTGTTAAATGAATGGCAGAAAGAGCAGAATATGTATTTATAAGCCCTTTCAAAGAAGTTTAGATGGCTTTCTGCAAAATGAAGGCTTCCCCCCCAAGTATTCCAAGAGTTAACACCATTCTTCCCATAATTTCATAAACTGTGCTTCTTGTATAGCTGTGTGATAGTTTAACTCAGCTGGCAACCAAACAAGACACAGCCACTCGCAGCCCCCCCACCGCAGGCGTTGCCCAGGGGGGAAAACAGAGGAGTTATGCAAAGAAACTTCTCACTAATTTATTTTTTTTATAATCTTCCTCAAACAGAAGTGAGTCTTCTATCTAAAGCTCTTCCAATTCTTGCACCATAAATGCCAGCTTACCTTATTAGAAATTCCATTTCAGTTGTAACTGCCAAATTGGAATAATAATAAATAATATTATAATAGTAAAATGTATAGAAACAATAAAATACATAATTTTGTTGTAAATAATTTAAAATAATAATTTAAAAATCGTATCTATATTATAAAGGGAGGTTGTTGCATATGATGATCCCAGAATCCCGTTATTTAGTACGGATTTGGATAAGCTGGAAGGAAAGCCACTACCAGTTCTTCCTACAGGTAAGTTGATTTTTTTTGCTGATGTTTGCAAAACGGAAGTTTGATCTGGCTTTGAACTGCTACAGATTGAAAGCTCTTTTAAGGAAGAGCTTTCATTGAACTAGACTGCTAAGCAATGGTATTGAAGATTATCCAAAGTTAGGTGTCTAAATAAGGACCCTTATTTCTCAGGAGTGTGAGCAGTTCTTCCAGCAGTGTGTACTGACTGTTTTCTTCCAGACATCTGTAAAATTGAGTAAATGCTTAGCAGTAAATGTCTGTGAAAGGCATGAAGGTGCAATTCAGCCACAAAGAGTCTGTATGCTTGAGCCATGTTATTATTTGTGCTGGACTAAGAGACTGCTCAAGTACTTAACAGAATTCATTGGAAATTTTTTCTATAACTCTGGTCACAAGGTGTTTTGCCACTACTTTCCAGAAAAAGTGAGAGGCTAAGAATTCAGTTTCGAAAGAACAAAAGTTTATTTTGCTTTTAAAAGAAGAAAACCTCCAAAACATCACTTCCTGCT